ATTAGAGTTGATCGGATATTATTTCACGTAAATTTACCTAAATTTAAATTTTTATCAAAATATTTTTATTAATTTACCCAAGTTTGTTTCAGCCATAAAATGGCTGTACTCATTTCTAGGCACTTCTTTATTCTGCTGCAACTTCAAGAATTCTTCTCTCAAGCCTTTGACACCTTTCTTGAGAACATTTTCGATCCATTCCATCAACTTAAATGAATAATTGATTTAAATTCAACTTCATTTAGCCTTCCATATAATTAAGCCAATCAAATTTAAGCCATCAAGTAGACTTCTGGCAATTAAAGTTGACCAACAGTTAGCAATAATAATTTTTACAATTTCAATTCTATAACTGTTATTGCAAAGAATGATATTAATCTGCCAATTAAAAAAAATACTTACGTTTATCAGCATAATTCGAAAGACTAATCTTCTTCAAGTTTTAATTTTTTTAGGCTTAACTTTGTACAAATCACAAGCAATCATAAAATCACTTAAACGATCAATCCATTGTTTTTTTACCAGTTCATCTACAAGCAACATTTGAGATACTGACTGCTTTCCATCTTGTATATAGCTAGAATCATAGTCCGAAGCCAAAGCAGAGGTTGTTCTTCCAGTTTCACTTTTAGACTCCGTAGTTCTAAACAAAAATTAAATTCGTAACTACTTTATCCAATAAATTTGTAACTCTGGGTCATCTTCAAATCATTGATCAGCTCATGTAATATTTCTTACATTTCATTATTAGTGTCCTCAAATACACATTACAAATTTGAAAACCAGTTAAGCCATTTTCTCATTATCTAATAATAAAATTTGTGTTCGGTAAACATTATTAACCATTGATATGAGCTATTAGTTTAATTATTACCAGCAATAATATGTACTACTAAATATCTACTCTATGCGACAATATTTTGATCCTGATAATGTGAAGTTCATACGTAGATAGTACTAATATCCTCACTTGTTCTGTCATATCAAAAATAATTCAACGTTACAAGGTATTAATCAAACTAAACATCAAAACGTAACTTGTCTTCACAGTTAGTTGGCGGCGAAAGGCTACACGTACTTGAAGAAGATCCTGATTCGCTCACTGACATATTCAATGGTTTTATCGATATCTTTCCTTTACTTTTCTTATTCTCTTTCGATCCCTTTCATAACAAAAATTACAATCTATTTTCTCACAATTATACCTTTAATTCATTTTACATTAACACGTGCGAACGGTTATTACAAGCGTAACTTAGCACTCATTCATGTAGTTTTCATATTCATTACTTACAAGTTATTTATTACTAGCATTTTATTACTTGTCAGCACTTAATAAATTAACTTATTTTACTGTTGTGAAACGGAGTAAACTATTTGTACTGAATAAATTTTACAAGGAGCATTCAAGCTCAAGCAATTAAACCCCAATATTTTGAGCGAATTAAACATCTGCTTTTTAATACTTTCCAGTGAAATAATACTTTTTTTGACTTATCACGACACATTGGACTAGCCAACCGACTGATACAAATAAACAAAACTGTAATTTAAATAAAAATTATTTGACAAAGTAATAAACATCCCATCTTAAGATATGTAAATTTTAAACACTGCTATTCAAAGCTATCACTTTTAATTTCTGATCTCCTGACTCACTTCTAAAAATAGATGTGTAAGTGATAAAATGTATTACGAATGTTGGCATCCTTATTTCTTGCAAAAAAACTAACAATTAGCAAGCTTCAATAGTTCTCTTCACCATCTCTTTTTACTTCATATCAATCTATGGTATCTAAAATTCTCAGTACTGTATACAAGAACAGATGATTTATAGCAACCTGAATAGTAAATCAGCTCTGATACACAGTTCGGATTTATACTTTTCTCATTTAAACCTGCCCAAGCAAAGCGAACTCTAAAAACAAAATGGTAAGTATACAACATAAAAACAGTTCATCCTGCACCACAACTATTAATGCTTACACACTGTGAAATTTTTAATAAGCCCTCGATGTATTCTTGGAAACATAATATCATATATTCAACTCTTAAAATTGCGTAATCAAATAATTTATTCTAAGGAATCGCCACTACAAAAATTACGCTAACCAGAAACAGCATAATTTTCTTATTCATAAGTTCAGCAACTTATTAACATATAAGTCAATTTCTGATGCGTCTTAATAAGGAATCAAATCCAAGAATGACATAAAAACATTTTGCTCAAAAAACCTTTTCGTATGTACTAATTGCAGTAATTTTTCAATAGTCTAAAATAGATAATAATGTAAAATACACTGAAACTTGAGCTATAAAAACAATATTTGAGGGAGCATAGTGCCTTTGATATAGTCAGTCGAAAATGTATGTCGCATTTCAGAGCCACGAAGGAGCTTTTTTCACCA